GAGGAACATGTACAACGTGATGAACCTGTGGATGACGATGGCATGGATAGGTCTTCGTATATGCGTGAAGAATTTGTTGAAAAGCCACCTGAAGTAGAAGCTACTCAGTTTCTAAAGGCATGGGAAGATGGATTGGATGTGAGTGTACTTCAGGAGTTTCCAAACAAAAAGGCAGTGCAAGATGCGGTGGATAGAGCCGCATTTGATAATTGTTTTGGTTTCAAGATTATAAAGTCGGATACGGTGCGCTATGTGGTGAAATGTCGTCAAAAGAGCTGTAAATGGGTTTTAAGGGCTGCAAAGATTACTGGTTCTTCTCGTTTCTCGATTAGAACGCACAAGAAGATGCATACATGTTCTCGGGCTAGTCAGAGTACAAACAACCAGAGTAGGAAAGGAACACCACGACTAGTTGCAGCTATACTGCATGAAGATTATCCGGGACTGATGGAGACTCCAACTCCTAAAAGTATCATGGGTATTGTGCAGAACAAACTTGGCCTACGGATATCATACTCGACTGCATTAAGAGGGAAAAACCATCATGTTTTTAATTTGCGAGGTAGTGCAGAAGATAGCTATAAGAAGTTGTATTGTTACCTGCATATGCTAGAGGAAGTGAACTCAGGTACCGTAACAAGTGTGAAACTGGATCATGAGGGGAGATTTCACTATTTTTTTGTCGCCTTGGGAGCTTGCATAGAAGGGTTTAAATGCATGAGAAAAGTGATAACTGTTGATGCGACACATCTGAAGAACAGATACGGTGGTGTACTGGTTTTTGCGTCTGCTCAAGACCCTAATCGTCATAATTATCCCTTAGCGTTTGCTGTTCTTGATGGTGAGAAGAATGATAGTTGGATCTGGTTTTTTGAGAAGTTGAAAACCATTATACCGGATTCTTCCGAGCTGGTATTTATGAGTGACAGAAATCCAAGCCTCCTCACCGTCGTAGCTACTGTCTATCCGATTGCTCATCATGGGTACTGCATATGGCATTTGTCCCAAAATGTCAAGGGTCGGGCATACAACGCCAATAAAGATGTAGTCGCGTGGAGGTTCATTGAGTGCAGTAGGCATTACACGATTGCTGAGCATGAGAAGGCTTATAGTGATTTCGTGTCAAGGTATCCTTCTGCGGCCAAGTATCTGGTGGAGACTACAGAAAATATGAAACATACATGGGCAAGATGTTACTTTCCAGGAGACAGATACAACATAGACACAAGCAACTGTGTGGAATCTTTGAACAGCACTTTCAGAACCGCAAGGCAGTACAACTTAATCCCCATGCTTGATGCGATCATTGCAAAAATATCTGAGTGGTTTAATGATCATAGGAAGGAAGCTGCCGCTGTACCGGTTGAACATAAATTAGTGCCATTTGTGGAGAATTTTCTGCACGACACTTGGCCAGAAGCTAAGAAATTGAAAGTGAAGGAGCTAAACTGGTTTGAGCGTCTTTATGATGTCATTGCGAAGACAGATGCCGGCGAAGCGAGGCATTATACGGTGAATTTACTATCAAAGAGTTGTAGTTGCAGGTTCTTTGATATTCAAAAATATCCTTGGGTTCACGCTCTAGCTGCTTTTATAGAATTCAAGGCCACAAATGAAGATAGAGATCGTGATATCCAAGTACATGAGTTGTGCTCGATCTATTATTGGGTTGAGACATGGCAATTGGCGTATTATAGGACTGTTTATTTGGTGCCAGATGAGTGTCAGTGGAATGTCCCGGAGTATGTGAAGCAATTGGAGATCAAGCCGAAAAAGAAGCCTCCTAAGAAGGGAAGAAAGAAAGTCTTGAGATTTCCTGGTCCTGGAGAACGTCGTGCAAGAACGAAAAATAAAAGGCGACCAAGGCAAGGACTGTTTTGGTTGGTGACTGGACGAGATGGATATGTTGGATGATGTACTTGGTTATTTTTTCATGTTTGGCTAACTATGTAGAACTGGTTTTTGTTGTGTAAAACTATGATCTTTTTGTTACTTCTTCTCTTTCTCAGGTTTGGAAAACTACGTAAAACTGATTTTGTTACTTCTCTTACTTCTGTTTTATTTCAGTTTTGGCTTCTCTTTGCTTACTATCGATGGGAAACTGTTGTGTTGTGTTCTGTTGTGTAAATCAGTTTTACTTAGTATAACTGGTACAACATAATTTTACTGTACACACGATTGAATACAATAAGTACCAAAAAATTGAATCATAATAAGTTGAATAAAAAAAATGTACACAAAAATCGACACCATATACTAGTAAATAAAGAACCATTACAATAGGTACCATAAAAAATGAATTAGCAAAAATAGCTTGTTTAGAAGAATTTTACACTACAAGTACCATACACTTCTATAGTTACTTTGCTATGAATAAGTAATTAAGGATCATAAAGTTGCATTGATCAAAATTTTCAATATATTATTTGATCAAATACTCAAACTAGTGTTTTAATCAACTAAATTAAACTGTAGAACTAGAACGGATATCTTAAAGTATAAGTAATACTAATAAAAATCGAAAACACCCAAAAGTAGAACTATTTGAACTTTTAGTACAACTAATAACTTGGTATAACTATGTACATTTTCTTAAGGAAAAGACGGCGCCTTTTTTCAGTAATGTCGGCGCGACGGCGACTGCGCACGTGTGACAAAGGTGGAAATTGAAATTAAAGGCGGAAAATTCAAAATTTCATTTTCAAATTCAAATTTTCATTTTCTCCTCTTTTATTTTTCGTTTTCATTTTCTCTTCTCTCTTCTCTCTCCTCCCACTCACTCTCTCTCCTCTTCTCTTCTCGATGAGCGATTCTCCTCTGTAGATCTACAATTTCCGGTTCTCTTCCGACGCGAATCTCTCTCTCTCTCTGAAAGTGAACGAACGAACCCTAGATCTACAAATCGGAGATCCTACAAATCCTATTCTTCCTCGATCTACTCTCTTTTCGATCTTAAGGTAAGTCTGCGATTTGTTATTCCGAATCTCCTCTCTAGATCTACAATTTTCTGAATCTACAATTTTGCTCTTTTCTACATAGATGTGGGGATCTCCAAGCAAAGCTGCTATGAAGGAAATGATGAGGGAGATGGACTATATCACTCTCGTCCAAGATGGTCAACGTGGGATCCCTAAGGAATGTCCTTGTGGAGGGCGTATCTACCACGAGATTTCGAAAATCGAAGGTGATTTGGGGAACAGATACTTTACGTGCAAGGCATATAAGGTGAGTTATATTGGAGAATCATCTCAGCTCATCTGTGTTGTGTAATTATATTTATGATATAAGTCTAAAGGAGAATTCAATCTATCTTTCTATGCAGAATGATGGGTTCCACTGGCGTGTTCCTTGGTTTTATAGTGTTGAGGAAGAGTTTGACAAATTAATGGAACAGATAGATGAGCAGAATCAAAAACTGTCGGGTCTTGAAACTCAACTGAAGAAAATGAGTGAGGAGCTGAGGAACCAGCGTGGAGTGATTGCAAAACTGAAGGACCTAGTTGAACAAGCTGTGAAGAACATCTTCGATGGATGGTAGTTGAACAATTTATGTGTTTTGAGTTTCATTAGACCTTTTATCTCTGTTCCGTTTATGTGTTTTGAGTTTATGTGCTTTCGAGTTGAAAATTTATGTGTTTTGAGTTTCATTAGACCTTTAATCTCTGTTCCGTTTATGCGTTTCGAGTTTATGTGCTTTCGAGTTGAACAATTTATGTTTCAATTTAACATCTTTAGTTTTACATAGTATTACAAGTTCTACGAATTCCAATCAACATAGTTTTACATAGTATTACAAGTTCTACGAATTCCAATCAACATAGTTTTACATAATATTACAAGTTCTACGAATTCCAATCAACATAGTTTTACGAAATCCAATCAACATAGTTTTTCTTAGTTGTACTGGTATTACGAATTGAAACAACATTGCAATCAACATAGTTTTAACCAGTTTTACCATAACAAAACAAATTTAGTGCTTAGAATACATAATAAAACAAACTCAGTACTTAAAACCACCAAGCACAACAAATCAAACACACAAACTTAGTTCTTTTCCTCCTCAGCCTTTTCTGCCTTCTTCCTTTCCTTCTCAGCCTTCTCCTGTGCTTTCTCTCCACCATCATCACCTTCCTTCTCATGTGCTTTCTCTCTCCCATCATTGCCTTCCTCATACGTCCTCATATATGCCGATTGCTCATTCACATAAGCTTCCAACGGGGCAATCCTTTCCACCAACCCATCAACCTTGTCACTCAACCCATCAACCTTATCAACCAACCCATCAAACGTTTCCTCCATTTTCGTCATACGCTCATCCATTTCTTTCTTCATGCGGTCCATGAGATCTACCAATGATGCAGATTGGGCCGTTCACCGGTGGTTCAATGGGGTCAACATCTTCGACCGCCACATTCGCAGGTACTTCTCTAACCTTGGCATCTACATCTTCTTTGAACATATTCTCAAAGAATACGGTAAATCCTTCACCAAGACGATCCATCCAACTTTGGACAACGACGCAATGCTTATCATCTTCTTTCTTCTCAGTGATTTCGCGCAGGAGAGCTTTCTCGGTGCGGGATGGAATCAGTATACTCTCAATATACTGTGAATAAAAACCAACGAATAAAGATTAGAATGGACCAAGTTGTACAAGTTGCACTAACTTTAGTTGTACGAAGTTCGGCATTTATTTGTTCTAACGAAAACCCTTTCATCTCGCATGATTTGAACTTTGATCTGCACATCCTAGGACAATTTTCATGTGCACCGGCAACAGGTTTTCGGAACTTCAACCCCAATGCTGCAATTGGCTCAACAGGTAAGAGCTACACAAAATAATTATGATTAGAGGTAGCCTCAATTCAGTTATAGTAAGTAGAAACAATAAATAAAACTTCAAATATTTTTTACCTCCAAAGGAATGCAGAAACCACCTATCGGCCATAATATTGGACTCTTCTCACCCTCCTTAACAAACCCTCCAAAATGACTCATTGTGTGAGTGATCTGTTGAAGCATATGATCAAATGACAATCTCCCCCAAGGAAATGTCCGGCATAACTCAAGATCACTGACGGCTCTCAGTAGGAATGGGTCCACAGAAGGAGCATATCTACCAGTCTTGACCAAGCCTTTAATAATGCTTGACAAAAAGAACAGGACCACCATGTTCAACTTATCTCTGCCAGCTTCCATTTTAAGTAGCTTCGCTTTCACGTCTTTATATCTAATCTTAGATCCCTTTTTAAAGAACTTCTCCACAAACTTCATTGTTCTCATTGATTTTTTTTTGCATAAACTCCAATCGATAGTTATGGCAGTCTAATCCCGATATCAGTGCATGTTCTTTGATGCTGTAGCGAATGGGAACGCATTTACCACGGAGCAAGCTTCTTTTTCCTTCTCAGTACATGCCGTTAGGAAAAGTAGCATCCACATGCCCTGAACCCTGTGGTTTTTGTCCCTTGTCATGTGAAAAATATGTTGGAATTTCGGGTGCGTCTCAAACCAACTTCTCTCTTGGCTTGTAAGTGGAGGGTCTAACTTATCAAGAAGTGTCTCCAATGTGTCGGCGATGTAACACCTAGTGGAGATCTTTATTTTCTTCTTATACTCACTCGGTGGAAAGTACATCTGCAAAGGTTGCATTGCTTCGGTTTCCTCTCCCGAATCCTGCAAAACGCGTTTAATTCTACCAAGTTATTCTAAATGCATTGAGTTATACCAACCAAGTTATATTATGTTGTACTACTACTACGATACCAACACACAGGAAATCAAGAGTAAACACTTTCAAAGATTCCTCCTATATATTGAATTAATCGGGATACTTACACTTCCGTCTTCCTCGTCTTCCTCCTCTTCACGGTCACTCAGTGTTCCACTTCCATCTTCCTCGGAATTCTTATCTTCTTCGTCGGAATTGGGATTATTATCTTCTTTGTCGGCTTTATTTGCTTCTTCCTCCGAAATGTTCTCTCCATCCTCGGAATTATTCTCTCTTTCAACGGGATTCACCTCTCTTTCGAATCCAGTCGGGGGGTCTTCTTCCTCCATCATTTCGGAAGGATGAGTTTGTTCCAAGGGGAACTCGGGGTTTTTAGTTCGAGGCATCTTCCGCAGTATTACTAATTTGTCTGTTAAACTAGAAGAACAAGATGAAGAGGGAGAAAAGATAGATCTGAGAAATCAAACGGGAGGATTCTCAATCTCTTCAAAAACTGATTTCTGAATTGCAGAAGGAGAAATTGAAGATAAAGGGAGAACGCGATTTCTGTTTTTTAGAGTTAGGGTATCCGATTAAGTTGGGTTTTCCTGGTTGGATGTGTAATTAACTCAAACAGTGAGGGTCATTGGTGTAATCAACCACGTTTTTGAATTAAAATAAAAATCAAAATTAAATTCCGTTTTATTGCTGGATATTTGGGCTTAGCTTTCAAAAGAGAGGGGCATGAGAGATGATTTCTCGCTTTTGTGACCGTCAATAAATGAGTGGCTAATTGGAAATATCGTCAACCTTTTTCTGCGACATAATAGACTTATACAAGTAATTGGAACAGAATCTCACAAGTGGCAACGTGTCCTAATCGCCACGTGGCACCTAATCCATTTGCTAAACAGATGTACAAATGTTGTATATAATCTATAGATGGGTAATGTGTGTGTATTACTACTTTACTAGTGCATGTGTATAATTGCGACGAGAATAAATACCTCGACGAGTATTTGAGTAGATGTGGACGTGTCATAAGTATTTAAGCAGAGATACATGCACGTATACGAACAACTAACAATTCAATTTTCAATGGATGAAGAAGATTTTTTGTTCTTGAGTTACTTACTTCTAACACATTCTGTAAAATGTTTCATAGATAAGCCTCCTCCTTAAACACCATCTTTCGATAATTAGTAGTTATTTTATTGATGGTATATGCTTTGCCACAATCTAAAGAGTCTTGAAGAATCCACTATTAATTTTTTTGGGCATTAATAGATACCTTTGGATTGAGAATCTACCATGTTATTGCATTATGAATAATTTAAAACACTAACTGAGATTATACACGTAATATTATTATATTACTAATGGACTGGTGGGGGCAGAGAGAGGACAAGAACGGGACAATGGCATAAATCAGACTGGTGAAGCTGTCCCTTGTGCTGTTGGGCACATCCCATGTGTTGTCACACTTCTCTTTCTTTCTATTATCTGTTAACTAAAATATAACAAATCATGTTATTCTATGTGTTTTCAATTATTCTATACCCCATTCGTTTTTTATCGTATGTCACCAAACACTTTTTGTTCACAAGCTTAGTCCGATGATTCAAGAAATTTGTTATTTATTCTACGTCTATACCCCCACTCAATCACCTATTGTGGTCTACTGCATGTAATTGTGTGGTAACGAGATTATCAAATTTAGATTTTCTTATCAACCTTTTGTGGAGAGTAGAAAAATTCGATGGGGTAATTAGCCGTAAACATGAAAATGGATTTTCAACCAATTAACAAAGGTCATTTCCTCAAACATACAAGTTTTATCAGGCCCAAAATCTTAGATAAGCTAAACATTAACAACGAAACTTCAATGAATATTAACTGGATTTGGATACCATTGACCACTATTTTATACTCCCTCCGTTTTAAATTAGTTGTCGTTTTGGCAAAATGTATCTGTAAATATTTGGACGTATCTGGACGTGTTTTGCATTACAGATACGTCCAAATATTTGCAGATACATTTTGCCAAAACGACAACTAATTTGAAACGGAGGGAGTAGTAGTAACAAAACTATTGTAGTAAACGTTGCATGTCCGTCCGTAGACCGTAGCCTATCTGGTTGTCATTAAGCAACAACGTATCCGTGTTTATTTAGTGTGTGACTGTGTGTATGTATTTAGAACTCTTTAATTCAAAGTATTTCGATTATCCAATTATTGTTTGTCAAATATACTAGTATTATTAATTGCATGGGAAAGTTCTCGGGTCCACGTAGGCGAGTGAGAAAGGAATAATGACAAGTTACAAACCTTGGTTTCTGCGAAAGAAACACCTCTCCCTATGAGAAGACTTTGACTTTTGAGTTAATGTTATTTTATTTTTATTCAAAGTTACTAACAGTAGAATCATCATTATCTTGTTATTTCAAGCTCGTGGTAAATAATGTTAATTAACTAAACAGCACCTCGACGGTAATCTTATGTGTGGTCCATGTTTACACATTTTAGGAGAGACAAAACCTCTATGCATTGTCCAAAACAAAGTGTATTGAATTGTCTAATCATTGACATTTCAGCTTTATTATTTCTTGTTTCTCATTTTTTTATTTTAGTAACACTTATAAGTGACCATTTTCACAGTTATGAAATAATCATTCTGGCTATGAATTGGAATTCATTTTAGAGTAAATTGGTGGAAAATGTTTTTTTGTTTGGGCCCACCAAACACATTCTCGCTAGAAAAAAAAAATAACATGTAACAACAACATAAATTTACCTCACTTTTACTCCACTATGTTTCCCACCAATTTACTCTAAAGTGTTTACCATTCACCCTCTATTTCAGTACGTTTTTTTAGTTAGATATTTGTTCCTCCTAATATTTCAGTGTTATTCTCTGGATTAGTAAAATCCACAGAGACTCTCTAGTCTAATCTATTGAAACTATACAAATACAGTACTAATTGTATGACATGAAAATCATGTAATTCTGGACACAATTTAATTGTTTGGTCGGAAATGATTCTAATAATCAGACAGGAACTAAACTATTTTAGTTTAATCTTATTTTCACTCGATCCAAATCGTTAATTTTCTACATTGGATGCGACGTAGGCAGCAGATTCCCATACATTAGATTTTCGCTAGTCTGATTTATATAATAGAATACTCAAATATTCATAAAATGATCACTTTCATCAAAATTGCAAATTCAAAATATTAATGCAATTGTTTATATTCCCTCTGTCTCTCAGTTCTGGGAAAAAAATTATCCTAAATTATAAGTATTTTTCTCTACCCGGTGCACATTTTTGCTTTATTAATTATTGTATACCCAATTAAATTTTACAGTTTCTTGATTATATTTTATTTACTTTTTAAATGATATTTTAATTAAAAAATTACTTTTCTTAATTTATCACTTTTATCCCAAACTGCTTATAATTTGGGACATAAGGAGTAATAGTTAGGTGAAACACAATGTTATATAGAAACCACATCTAATTTCGTTTTCCTATTTTTTAATACTCCATGTTTTATAATAAGTGTCACTTTGACATTTTTCACACAAATTAAAAAAATAGTTCAAAGTTACTTGACTCTTAAATTTTATAATATTTTTCGAGAAAAAACAAATAAATTAATAAGAAAAAGGGCATTGAAATCAGAAAATAAAACTTATTTTATTTTAAAAAAAACATTATAAAATGACAATCATTATAAGACAGAGGGAGTAAATAGTAACACGACCGATTTGAAGATATATTTATTTGTGTATGTCATTACAGTATTTTTTTGTTCTCGCAAGTTAATTTGGTATTCACAAAAAAAGGCTCGCTTAGACCATCTCCAATGTATTCCATCATTTTCTCCCTTATTTTAGTGTTCCCTTATAATAGTGTGATATTTTTCTCCAATGTATTCCCTTATTTTTTACACTAAAAATGAATATTATATTATATATAAAATCTTTTTATTTATAAGTTTCACAAATTAGCCCCACTTATTTTATTCTTTGAGAAAAAACCCATAAATTAATATATTATTTAAACTAAATGTTTCTTATTTAAAGTAATTAAGCTACATTGTTAATTAAAAATATAAAGTATGATAGATTTTAGTTTATAAAACTTTAATAATTATGATATAATTGAAATAAATATTTAAATATAATTTGTTTAGGTTCAAAATAAGAAAAAGTTAAATTTGAGGGATCATTATGCAAATAAAAAAGTATAACATCAAAAATAAGGGAGAAATAAAATCACACTATATTTGAGGGAAAAAATAGTGTTCCCTTATTTTGATGGGAAATATAAGGGTGGGTTGGAGAAGAGTTTTACACTAAAATAGTGTTTAAGGGGAAATATAAGGGTGGGTTGGAGATGCTCTTAAATAACATCCACTATTAATTGGTTGGTTGGTAGAACAACGTACTAACTTCATTATTTCAAAACGTAGTGATAAAATTAGAGAAGAACCTATATTGTTAACTTGCTAAGATAGATACTTTCTCCGTTTCAAATTAGTTGTCGTTTTGGCAAAATGTATCTGCAAATATTTGGACGTATCTGGACGTATTTTGCATTACAAATATATCCAAATAATTACATATATATTTTCCCAAAACGACAACTAATTTGAAACGAAGAGAGTACAACAGTACGTTGGAAGCTGGTGAAGATAGGTCTACAGATAAATACTCTTTACGCAATCTAAAGACCAAAGGCTTTTGATAGTTTCTAGATTGCCGAATTATGCTACGGACGAAGTTGGGAACATGCTTCAAACATGCCCAAAAATTTTAGCTGAATTATTCACCTACTTTCTTAGTCTTAAAACTTTGAAAATAAATTCTCCGATTAATTATACAAATACGTACATATACGTTTTTCTTTTCTTTTCAAATACACGATTGTATCCTCGGTTGGTTTACTGTTTCATGTTCTCTGCAATACTACGATGGATTTGAGGAGAACGTGGAATAATAATACTATGATGTTTTTTTTATATCAAGATATTTGTATTCAACTCTTATAATAACTAAGCAAATATTTCTTTAGTCGCCAAATATTGTTGGTTTTTTTTTATAAATAAAAACGTATTATGGCATCGAACAAAATGAAAACCAAGGTCTCATGTCATACTTTAGATCAAGACAAATTTCTCTCACCTTCTATAGTTTATTGTTCTCTCAGTTTGAAACTGGACAGAGAGAATCGATAGCAGAAGATATCATGCAACTGGTCGGATCTCGTAAAGCATATGCCTACACTAATGGATAACATTTTTCATTCCATTTTTGACATTCAAAAGGTTAAACTAAGAGAAAATATGACTCCATGTCTCCATGTGTAACAATTGTCAAAAGCGGAATCTTCCTTTTCTTTTTTAATTCCCGTCGAACTAAAAAAAGTCTATGCGTGACGAGTTATAATACTCCCTCCGTTTTTTAAAGATAAATTTTCTAGTTTTTTCACATAGATTAAGAAAAAGTTGATTTTCAATCATTAGTGCATAGATTTCTGCAATAAAACAACTTTTTATAATTTTAAACCAATAAAAATCCAACAAATATAATCATTGTATCTTGAAAACTGAAAAAGTGCATCAGAAAGGTAAAAATTTTATCTTTGTGAAACAACACATAATGGCTAGAAAATTCATTAAAAAAAACGGAGGGAGTATAAAGTAAATATATTTTTCCATTTCATATTTTAGTTAACGTTACGGAGATAACATTGTTGTGAAAAAAAAAATTTTTAATTATCAAGCCGGTAAGAAACTGTTGAGTAATAACGAAAATGTATAACGAAAATAACATATTCCCTCTTTCTATATTATAAACAGTTTGAGAAAATGTATATGCAATTATTATCTAAATATGTTTTAAGTTTAGATATATACATCCAACTAATAGTAGATATATTTTATTAAACTGCTGCTTATAATATGGGACAGAGGAAATATCAATTAAAGGTTGTTAATTAGACTGCTAATATGTTCCCAAGTTCCGACGAGTTGATAATTGCAAATGTACTAGATTATTGTAAATGGATTATTTGATTGTACAAATCGCGTGAAAAGTCATCTTAATTTAAATGTATGAGTCAGATTAACGAAATTTTCTAAAACGACAGCTTCGAGGGAATATGTACAGCTAAACCAGTCACTAAAAATCTGGCACCGACCTGAACCGACTAACACGTGGCTCTAGTCTCAAGCGTTCACTTTCAAAAGAATTCAAACGCCGCCGTTTTACTACTTCTACCGCCGAACGTCGCAGATTTCTTCGGTTTCTTGACTTCAGAGGGAATCTCCGGCGGAGTCAATGTACGGATGAGCGCGAAGTTTAGACCTTTGAAAAACGGGTGGACTTTGACCTCGGCCGCGCCTCGCCGTGACCCGAGTCGTTTGGTCGGATCTTTGTTGAGCAAACCGGAAATAAGACTCCGGGCGTGAAGCTCGAACATCGTCGCGGGAGAATCGGTCGGAAAACTCAACGGTCTTTTCACAATGTTACGGAGGATGACGTCGTTGGTCGGCGCCGCGAAAGGAGTCCGACCGTATATCATCTCGTACAGAAAAACTCCGAAGGCCCACCAGTCAACGGCATTCCCATGGGACCCACCCGAGGCGACCTCAGGTGCCACGTACTCATGCGTACCAACGAACGAACCGGACCGAGCGGTAACCGGTTCAGCGACAAATAGCCAATTCGGTTCGAGTGTCTGGACCTTTTTCGACCGCAATACGCGGTGGAAAAGCCTAGCGAGACGTGTGAGCCGGCGCGGGGAGGATCGGGGTTGGTTTTCCGGCGACGAAGACGATGATTCCACGGCGGCGATTGAGTCGGAGCATAAGGAGAGGTCGAAGTCAGAGAGCATAATGTGACCGTCCGATCTAACTAAGATATTTTCAGGCTTCAGATCTCTGTAGATTATCCCAAGCATGTGTAGATATTCTAACGCCACTAGAACCTCTGCTGCGTAAAATCTGTAAAACAAATATTATATTATAATATGTAAATGTATTGAGATAGCAAAATCGAAAAATAAAATCATAGTTATTGTTAATGTGATGGGTTGAAAAAGACTCTTCCTAACAATTCTAAAAAAAAAAAAAAAAAATTCAAAGAACTGGAAAAGACCGACATATGAGCATCTCCAATAGGGTATATTAGAGGTCTCATACCTTGGTATCATAGCATTAAAAAAAATAAAAACAAATAAAAAGAGGGAAAGAGGATGTGAAAAAGTGTGAGACGTTCCTCCTTTACCATACGGTATGAGAAAAAGAATAGACTCTCCAATGAAGTGGCATCATAAATGGTTGATTTCTTTTAATTATTTAAATTTAATTATTCTTTATAATTATATTAATTTAATATTTATAACATACTGATACTATAGTTTCAGCAATGGAGATGCTCTAAGAACAGGTCTGTTCTTGCAGAGGAAGATAACAAATCATGTACAGAGTCAATGCATGCAAATTCGTATACAATGTTGATGCTGATTATTTTTTTATTATTATTATTATTATCATTTTTAAAATCTGACTTTTCTGATATTTTTTTATATAAAATAATAAAATAAACTGTTTTTTATTTCTTTTCTTTTTTTACCTGCCGGAGGAAAGGGAGAATCGGCGGTGAGGCTGTCTGTGGCGGAGAGAGTGCAAATCTCCGCCGGAGCAATATTCCATGACGATGCAAGAGAAATGCGAGGCTTCAAACTCGGCGTAAAGAGTCGGCAAAAACGGATGGTCGAGCATCTTCAAAACCGTTTTCTCCATCTCAGCTCTGTGCATCTTCTTCTTCATCGCAAGCGCTTCTTTGTCCACCACTTTCATCGCGAAATACGAGCTCCGGCTCTCTTCTTCGTCTCCGGCGAGGCGGCATAAGTAGACGGTTCCGATGTCTCCGGCGCCGATTCGACGCATGAGGCGAAAATCTCGGAAGGTGAGGCCGTGTTTCCGCCGCCGTCGGATCTCTGCGTAGGCGAAATCGGAGGATCGGTGTGGTTTGAGAGAGAGAAAGCTTTCTTCCTCCGGGATTGTCGACGACGGCGGGGCCTCGAAAGATAACCGGCTGAAACTGCTGCAACTCTCTGTTCCACTGCTAATCGGCGAGTTCGTCGTCTCTAAGCTCATCTCACCGTCTGATTCCCGTAACATCGTCGGAAATAAAAGTAAAAGTCGAGATATGAAAACGAAAATCGGAATCTGAAAACAGAATCAATGGAAGAATAGTGACAGAGATGAAACAGAATCGCACATTGAATTTGGAGCAGGCAATTTAGGGTTTATGAGTGAGAAGAAGAAGAAGTTTTTGAAGTTGAGAGAGAAGGAAGGAAGAAGGAGGAGTGTTCGGGTTTAAAGAGAGGCAAGAGAGAGTTGGTGAGGTGTATTTATGCGTGTGAGGTTAGGAAAAATAAAAAAGGCGTAACAGTCAAAAGACGTTGCAGTAACATTGTTTTTAACTGTGGTTAAATTATAAATACAGAGATTGCACTTTTCAACGCATGTGAGAGGAACAGAAAAAAATAGAGAGCAAAAAGGCCTTGATGACGTAAGCGAGTAGGACACGTGTGGGACGTTGTCACGTGCCTCAAGGTGCAGTAGTAGCTTTCTGCCTTTCTTGTGCGTCCTTAAACAGTAAGGGATACAGATTTAAGTTTACAGACTAATGATTCATTTATTGGATACAAATTAATGACGTATATAGATTTCAAGCGTTAATTTTGACTTACTTAGTTTGTGGTTTCTCTTATTTTCTTATGATACTAGTAACTACAGTATACGAGTATGAATTCGGACAACGAGAGGGCAATGATATTAGTGTTAAATTACTGGATTATACTCCCTCTGTTTCAGAAAAGATTATGTTTTATAATTTTCACACATATTAAGAAATAATTTCTTAATGTTAGTTGTAAGTTCATTATTTTCTCTTTTATTAACTACATTTTACAAATACGAACCAATAAGAATTCAAAAGTATTATTGGAACTCATAACTACATAACATTTATTAATTAAAATATTTTTAATAGTTACAAAATCAAGTTTTGTAGAGCAAACCAAAATTCTAAAACTTACGGAGGGAGTACGTTGCAATCAGTTTTGTGGTTTTTAATGATTTAGATGACTAAAGATTGTACCGAACATATAGATATACTTAATGATCATTAAAGACGACGATCCAAATAACTGGAAGGGGCCCGACCTATATACTAGGATGTTGTTGGCTTTGTGTGGCTTCATATTATGATACGTTCCAAGTTTTGGATTTGAATCCACAATATTGTTTTTAGGTTAGGCTCGGGGTTGGTCAATTCGATTAATGTAAATCTGAGATGAGTCACGAGTGAGGTCTCCTCTCCCTAATTTTCGTTCTCTCTTTAGTTCCACCTCTTAGACGTACACTGCTACTTCCCTCAGAAACATTGTGGATTGATCATTGTAACAAGTTTATTTGTTCTTCGGTTTAGCTTAAGTTTTTCTTCCTCTTAAGTTGCTTTGTTCTAATTAAGTTTCTATTCCCGATATTAACAACTTGATTGATTATACAAGAAAAGTGTTCATACTCTATAATATTTGTTTAGCTTTAGGCTTCAGTTTCTGAAAGGAGGTAGAAAAGATTAACCGCATCAGCATCAGGCAGAAGAACTGTGTAGATAGCGCATAAATGCGTTGAACTTTAATGAATGGGAAATAGAGGGGAAACGTAGCTTAATTTTCATGCACAATAATAATTGTTTTCAAAAATCTGTTTCATAAGCTTACAAAAAAGGGAAAACATAAATATGTACAACGCTTTTGATTCATTTGGCGCATATACATAATATGGCCCCTCTCCTTGGCTTCGCTTAAAACACGTTTGAAAAAAACAGCAATTCAAGAAATGTATAAGATACTTGTCTATTAATTTAAGAATGAAATTCTTTAGATTTTCAACTAAAAGCCAATTACATATGTATATTGTCTTCTAACTAATTTCATATGTGATTTTTTTTATAGCTAAAAGGCCTCATATATGAATTGTGAAATTAAAACAAATTTCCAAAATAATAATTTTTTCCAACCTTTTGAATCAAACCACACCTTTTTGGATCAAGAACAAATCATATTAAAAATAATTGAACTTTGGGAAAATTGCATAACAAACCATCAAAGTGGCATCAAAGTTTTATAGGTTTAATTTAAACATCAAAACTAATTAAGAATAAGTGGACTATCTAACTTTGTTTTTCCATTACTCTAAATTTACATTTACTAAAAAATTATTTTATTGTTTTCTCCATATAGGAACGACTGCTGTCTCCTAAGTTTTCTCTAAGTTTAATTTTTAAACTTTTACAATATCTTAGTTATGCACTAACATCTTTTACTCCGTTTAGTTGTTTTCTACAACATATGTATTGAACTATAGGCGAAAACAATTGATTGAAAATGTGGATAAAATGTTTGATGTTTGGAGGAAGAAGGACAAAGTCGTCATTGTGCAAACTGAAGATGCGAGTGACAAAACATAACTGACCTCTGAGCTCTGTTTCAATACACCCAGAGAGATTATTCCCTTCCTCGTTGGTTCCTAAAGACAATAACTGTTCCGTTACTATCTTCTCTAACTCTTAGCGCAAGTGTTTGGTCACGAGTTTAACTATATCCCAACCTCGTGCTAACTAGAACTACATCGGAATGACTTCTGTCTTGTACGTACTATATCTCTAGGGCCCACGTTTTGTACGGACCAGTTCTCGCATTACTCCAATTTCTTCTACTCCTCCCTCAAATATTTTTTAAAAACTTAACAGACGATTTAATTTGTTTGTTTTATTCTATAGCAATGGATGACGTATATTGTTAGTGGATCCATTATAAACAGGATCGTAGAGATATGAAGAGATTAACTAAAACAGAGTGTAACAATTAATTAAAGCTTCGGATGTGGGGAAGACAGGCGGCAACATCTAGGAACTGTGGGTCCTGTCCTCTCTGACGCGACAGCTTTTGGGTCCAAACATAAATTGGAAAGTAATGAATAATTTGTTTGGTTTATAGTTAAAGACAAATGCAAATAAATCCCTGAAATATTCATTGATTTTTTTGTAATACACCGGTTACAAAACAAAACAAAAAATCTGTAAACAGAACCCTGAATAATCTCTGCCTAATTTTCTAATGCTTGTTTCCATGTGATACAGCGTTTAAACTAGATGATGACCAAGCTATACGCATAGCTGCGTAGACAATTAATTCTTGAGTATATTGACGAAGTTTGTTTAAATGATGCAAGAGGACGCGTCGTTTTTGGTTATTAATTTTACGAAACAATGTAATTTCCTTCTCGAACAATTTTTTTTTTTTTTTTTTTTATCTTCATGTTCGTCAAACACACGAAAGTTCCCATCAACACACTTCGAAGAAGTGCTGAAAGCATTAACCTCCACAGGTTGTTAGCTTCCTTCTACTAATATGTTATTTCAATATAATTACACAGCATTAACATCTTGTCAAACTTATGTTGATACATGTTTTAGATTTGTGAAATGGGAAAGAAAATACTATTGGAACTACAATTTGTAGGGAACATTTGAATTTGGAATATACAAGAAGCAAGGCCCCACAAATTAGTTAAAGAAACTGGGTGCCACAAGAAAAAGTGCAAGAATATTTATATTTTATATAAAAAATAATAATCTATAAGAGCTTCTCCGTATCGAATTATATACGTTTCTCATGAATAAATACACACATGGATCGGTTACATTAACAAATATGTATATACACTGATACACACCTAATACCTGCATAGATATGTCATATATACTCATATATATACATATATGTATACACACAGTTCAATGTCATATTCTATACACATATAAACAAAAAAGACATGGCAAGTGAGATTGTTTGTAGGCATGCCAAACATACATTTGAGAATGAGAATGAGAACGACTAATAGAATATTAGATGATACATATACGTACACATTACAAATGTACATATAGGTGTGTATTGTTTTATTTATTAGTGCATGATAAAAGAAAATAGGTAGACTTTTTTTATAACAATAGTGACCCATATCATGAAACTTGTTTGATGTCAATTGGGAAACTAACTAAATAATTTCTTAATCAATATCAAGAAGGTCCACATCATCGGCTAAAATTGTCACATGGCATGTGTGACATTGTTATATATCTGGACTTTGGCAAGAGAGTAGGGTTCCAAATACCATGATAGTGATTTAATAGTTAGGTGCTCCTAGGCCGTTTAACAAACAAAATGGAAAATTAGGGGCTCCTGAAAATCGAAGCATAGAATTAGACGGTGACTCTCTTTCTGCGTAGTCTTTATTTTACAGTTATTTGTGTAAAAACGTAATGAGAGATGATAATGTCTGTTAGATTCGAGATAACACTCGTCAAGACGGGCTATCAAAGATGTGAGTTTAGGAAACTAGAAGCTCAAATCAACTCAAAGAATATTAAGAAGGTTACAAAGAAATTATCTCGCTAACAAACTTGTCGAAATAACTGTGATGAACAAAAAGAGAAAGTAAAGTGAGTGCAAAAGCCTAGTAATTCTAGATGATCTCGGATGTCTTTTCTTCAATGGGGGGTCTTCAATATATAGTGTTGATTGGTCGGCTAACAGGTGAATATTTTCCTTCTGGCGAGATGGAAAACTTCCTCTTTTGCGATATAGAAAACTTCTTCTTGTTATTGATTTCCTTCCATTCTTCAGGTCGGCATGAGGGGTTATTTACATTTTCTCATAGATTGTGCCTTCCTTCTCAAGTCTTGCCTTTTTGTTGAGGAGGTTAGGTATAAAGTCGGATTGGGCTTTGTGATTTTACTAATGATGATGGACTCATGGAAATATGCTAATTTCTCCTCTAACAATATCAAATTTGATGCAGTCGAAATATTTTCTCATTATATATGTTTGGACAATGTTTGAATTTGGATGGTGATATATTATTATTATATATGCATGCAATACAATCAAGTTTTTACAAATACCGTGTGTTTAACGGCTGAAAGTAGTGTAGGTCTAACCCTATATAGTAACGGCTGCTTATTGTAAATGTACCTATCTTTTTCTTGCCAAAATGAGATCTCTTTAAGATTTGCTTTGGACTTTATGTTGAAAACAAGATTTTTA